GTACCCGTTTATTTATAAGTATGGGAATAACATATTTAAATATACATGTGATAAGAGGAGTGACCTGCACTCTCTCTCTGATATTTTTCTGTTGTGTAATTGACATGTTTTCAGGAGAAACTAAAATGCAACAAATCAGAGTTCAGTTGTCAGTATCCATCATCAAACTCATTCTGGGCCTGCTGCCGGGCCAGCATGGCCTGAATTAGTGCGCTGGAGCCTGAGGGAGCCTGGTTCTGAGGGTGGGCAGGAGCCCACTGCCTTCTGTCCTCTTCTTCTGCTCTCTGTCTGGCCTGCATGACCTGCATCATTATACTGGAGACAGAAGACGTGGGATGGTCCAGGTCCTCCGGTGCACCGTAGTATCCATCCGTCAGCTGACCCCCTGACCTCTGTGTGACCTGCGTCACATGTGCGAAGCCACTGGATTGTGAAAAGTGCTGGTCAGACACGCGGGTGAAATGCTCCTCCTGACCCTCAGCTCTCTGACGGGCCATCATGGCCAGCGTCAGGGCACTGGAGCTGGAGATGTCAGAGGGAACCGGAACTCCATCCGTGCTCCTCCTTTCTTCCTCCTCCTCCAGCTGCTGCCGAGCCAGTAAAGCCTGGAACATGGCGTTTGATTTGGACGGACCTCCTGAGGAGTGGTCCTCTGGGCGTTTGGAGTGCTGTGACGAGTAGAAGAATAATGAGGATCTGAGTATGTGTGTGTGTGTGTGTGTGTGTGTGTGTGCGTGCGTGCGTACCTTTTCTGTATTCATTTGTTTGTGTCTTTTATTTGACCTATTTGGTTTCTGCAGGTTCTGGAGTTTGTCTAACAAGAATGACTTGTCCTTTCCCTCCTGACAACAGGACAACAGGAGAATGAAAAACAAAGACATGCTTTGAAGAAAGAAGTCTCCAACACCTCAGGAATCAGTGTGTCTCAAATCTTTATGATAAAACCTTGACTGCCCAGGATTGGTGAGTTTGGCAGATGATTTAAAACTAACTTTTTTTATTATGTAAGATGCTGTATTATAATTGAGTGTGGCATGGATCTTAATCTGTAGGGAGTTTGAAAACAGACTGTACTCACATTAACAATCTGCTGCTTTAAGATTCCAATGAGCTCCTTCCGGCCCTGACTGATTTGCCAGAACATGTATGTGATGATTCTGAGCAAAACAAACAAACACACAGAGTTCTTTAAAAGGTCCATAAGGTCAAACTGAAACCAAACTGTTGCTCTTTCACACGACTACACTGTGTCACTGGTGAACTTTTGCCACAGTAGTTACTAAAAAAAACACACACTTGTTCCTTAAAGTTGCTGTTACCCATAGACTGCATGTAAGAAGTGGACTTCCTCTCTTATAAAGTCCAAGTCAGGGGTCACCAACCTTTTTGGAACTGAGAGCTACTTCAAGGGCACTTAGTAATACAGAGAGTTACTTGTTTGATACAATGTAATAATAATCAGTTCTGGGACATACAATAGAAGACACTCTCTTCTTACCATCGTCATTGAACCCATTTGAATATCACTGCAGGTGGAACTGATTCAAAAACCACAGTAACAGTACAGTTTTTGACTAGATATATTTTGAGAACATGCCCGCGGGCACCTTAGGTAGTCGAGGGGGGCTACCAGGTGGCCCCGGGCACCACGTTGGTGATCCCGGTTTTACTGATCAAGACTTAAATTCTTGCCAGTCATTTTATCAAGAGTGAAGATCCTTGTGTGATATTGGTTTGTGTTTGCTCCCTGGTGTAGATGACATCATCATTACTCAACAGTCAAATATTGCAGAACGTTTAGGAAAAAGTACACTCCCAGCAGGGCAAATACTGTATGTCCTCTGCATACTTACATGATGATGATTGTGATGAGAAAATAAAAAACTTCACTCCTGATGACTCTCTGGTAAATCCAAATGACCCAGTCAGCACCGGGGATCTCCTCCAGCTCCTCCATCCAGACTGCCACCACACTGAAGGTGTTGTTGAGGCCTTTAAATGGACCACACTGCGTTGAAGGAGTCAGACTGTGAAGGAGGGGAGCAGAGGGACACATCAGGGCTGAGGTTTGGTGTCTCTGTATCATATGTTAATTCAAGATGATTTTTTTTGTTCTCACACCTCCAGGCAGTGTATCCAACTATGGACAAGGATCCCACAAAGAAGGGGAAGAAGAGGAGGCAGATGAAGGCTGTCTGCATCTGAGCTGCTCTGCCTGTTCTCTGTGGAGGCTGACAGTTCCGGGTCAGACTGACCTGAAAAAGAGCAACAGAATTCATGCACGTTTTTTTATCAACACCCACCACGAAGGTATGTCTGTCCATTGGACCATTCATTAATTACCTACATAGAGGCAAAAAACAGAAGAAGCAGCTCTAAAAACAAAAGTCATCTTTTTGGGATTTAAACCGGAAACCCCTTCCATAACAAGCCTGATGATTTAACATAGTAAATCAACATCAACATGCATATATTCATGGCATTGGTTCATTTTATTTTGCGTCGATTTCTTGCAACAATGTAGCAGCATTGTTTATTTACTGTACTACTACAATTTATTTGTTTTAAAAACCTCAATATATCATGCCTATAATACCGCAGTAGCATATATCATATCGTTGCCCCGTTTTGTGATATGTATCGTATTGCCAGATTCTTTCCAATACACACCTCAATAAATCAGTAAATCCATACTTTTAACAGACTCACTTTTTCTTAACTCTATGATTTAAAAACAAACAAACAGGAGAAGCTGAGCAGAGCTGTTGGACAGCATGGCCTGAAGGCTTCCTCTGTTTGTTCATGAAACATTCAGCAGCAGCAGATCCAACCTGGGTCAAATTACCGGCAACAACGACGCCAAAAACTTTCCAGGTATCACTGATTACTCAGCCTGCTCAGTATAATATGAGTCCAAATTCCTTCCTGTCATTTCTGTAACCCAGCACAGAGTAAATACAATACAAATTCCTTCCTGTCATTTGTGTAACCCAGCACAGAGTAAATACAATAAAGAGATCAAAATTAATTGATGACCCATGTGAACAAACGTAACACGAGTCTTTTATGAAGAATAGAGCCGGTCACAGAGAGATGGTTTTGTATTATCTGTCATCACCAAGGTCACAACATTTTTTGTCCTGTGTTACGGCAGGTCTTTCTGTCTTACCTCCCCCGACAAATGATGAATTATAATAATTACTATAATAATAATAATATAAATAAGTCAGAACAGCCTCTCTACATTAATTATTTTCTTTTTTTATATTGTCATGGATGAAAAATAGATTTCAATGACCCTTCTTGAACAAGCATTTAAACAAAAATATGAAATGTAAAAACAACCTTTATATCCCCAGCAGTGCTCTAGTGCACCACTAGGGGTCTGTGTTTCGTGAAAGACTGTTTGTGGTTAGACAAAGTCCAAACCCTGAAACCTGAACCTGTGTTTACCTTCTTCAGATAAAACAAGATGAAAAACTTGAGGATCTGAATGGCAGGCAGCAGAGGAGAGAAGTAGATCCCAACCCTGCAGAGAAACAAACCATGCAGTGAAGTAAGTAGAAACCCGGACAAAGAAGAATAAATTAGTTTTTTCGTTAGATTGTTCCAACACAGAAACTTCTGGTTACTTTGTTCTCACCAGCTTAAAGTCTGTGCATAAATGAGCTCAAGGACATTTCTGGCAATGTCGAAATCTGGCACCCCCAGACTGGGTAGTAACGTGGTGCCGATGACACTGTGGTACAGACATTAAGAGTACAATCATATGTCCATGTAATTAAAAATGAAATCTGACAGGTCAACAGTTTCAACAAATTCATGTTTGAGGTCAACAGATTCTGGAAGTAAGGAGAAAGAAATCGCAAAATATTGGTCCATGAAACTTGATTTGTACAAGCAGCAGAATAATTACTACTAATAATGAAATAATTTAATTCTTGCTCAGTGTTTTGCAAACCTAACCATGTCAGATTCCACTGGGATAATGTGTGGAGTACCTCACAGCAGTATTCTTGCCCTTCATCCTTCCTCTCAGTCAGATCAGATTATCTCTACGCTGATGATATTTAACTATATCGCTTTTTTTAACCTATAGGGCTACTGAATTTGTCCTTATTATTTATTTGTCTGGATATGGCCTGTGGGCCGCCAGTTGATGATCACTGTTTTAAAGCTATTTTAAAGCACAACTAGTTTTCATTTACTCTATTCTTACCTCAGGTCTATGTAGCTTAGCACTACTAATGTTATTTTGATATATAAAATAAACACTGTTGCACTTACTTTCTAAGAAACTCTCCAAAGAAAGATCCCAACAACAGGAACATGAAGTCGAAGATAACCAGACGGTACAAAGACTGTCCCACGATGGTTTCCCAACACTGAGGTAAACACAGAGATGACAGGTTGACATACACAGTCTAGGAATACTCAACCATGACATACAAAATAGAGTTTTCATCGAGTGAGACGTGTACCGAATACTTCTTAGACACCACATTCATCCAGTGATAACACAGGACGCCCAGGATGGACAACCTGAGGAAGACGTTTCTATTTGTGTGGGAAAAAGGCAGAAGAAAAAAGAACTTTGGTTAAACCTTAAACCTAGAGCTTTCATTTTCAGATATTTGAAGAAAAATGTGTACCCCGAGAACCAGCCATGTTCAGAGCACAAAAATAAAGATAGGGTTTAGGTTTTTTCTTTTGGGTTTTCTATTTAATAGTTGCAGTTTTTACCCTCTTCCTGATACTAATCTCTCAGTTGTCTGTTCTCTAACCTCAGCACCAGAGCGTAGACCTTTCTCCTCTGACTGGAGTAATGTTCAAACTTGTTGAAGAGAGAGTAAAAGAGTGGAACAACCAGGTTCATCAGAGAAACCACAAATGGAACCACGAGAGTCTCAGCCTCCTGTGCCAGAGTCCAGCTCACAGAATCAGTAGTCCTCTGTAAAAAACAACAGACAGACAGAAAGACAGAGAGATGGACAGACGGGGTGTCGTTAAAAGCAACAACTTGACAAAGAAAACAGTTAAATCCAATCATCATGTAGAAGACCCTCGAGGCTGAGCTTCAATAGGGTAAAATACGCTCAAACGCTGTAGGAATGTAAAAGGAGAAAACCTCGTCAGACTGTGATCTGTGATAAACAGCTGATTCTAAATGAGTTAGTCGTGAAGTTGATATTTGACACTGGTGTAGAACAGATAGCATTTTAATTTTCTGAATCTTGCTTTTTTTTTAACAAACAAAACTCATAGTAGAGGCCTGGTATTTACATACCTGCTCTTCATAGCGGCACAGAAAGAAGATACTGGCTCCACAGCCAGCGGCTAAACCAATGGAGAGAAGCCAGAAACCAAGATAAATCCCAAAATGCTTGAGTCTCACAGAGAGAGTTAGTTGCTCGCTGTAGGAATTCTCTGACAGAGACTCCTGGAAAACCGCAACGAGATCAAAAGAAAATGATTAAACTCATAACTTGTGAAAAGAAAAAAGAAAAAATTCACGTTCAGCAGTAAACACCTTGAGTTGTACACGCAGGTTGTTCTTGCGCTGCCTCACTGCTCTCTCATTGGTTACCCTGAAATCCCAGCTGCAAAGAAGCTGCCACGCACCGTTTGAAGCTGAGGCCTCTGGAGTGTAGTTATTTTTGAAGGAGTTTGTTGCGCTGCATGAGAAGAAGAACAGATCAAGGATTGTTATCCTCACTACATACTTGCTCCAAAAACCACAATAAACTGCAAGGAAAAACAGTTAGTATCAACCCGAGGATTGAATTTACCTGATGACTAGTACAAATACACACAGCGCCATGTAAACAGCGATGGTGAAGAAGTAGGACAGCTGCATGTCATAGTCCACTAGACCATGAAGAGTCTCATTGCTGTAACCACCATAGTACATTACAGTGTACCTGAAGTAACCCTGCAGAGAAAAACTGAAACTGGATCATGTTGCAAACATCTAGTTACTGCACTTTGTGCTTTGTCAATGTTTGTTACTAATCATGCCCTTTATCATACATGTACTGTAATAATGACACACACACACACACACATTGACATGCACACAGGTGCTCTGATAACGGCATGCTCTTACAGCTCCAGTCAGTAGCTCCAGTCCTCTGAAGGTCACATTTGCAGGAGTGTTAGGTGAAGGTTCAAAAACAAGCACAGGGATGGTGATAAAACTGAAGTTGACCAGGAAGGAGAAAATGTTAAACATGAGCAGCCACTTGAGGAACAGGAAGTAGGAGAGAACGCTGGTGCCAAACTTGCCACCGATCTCCTTCATGGTGCCCTGCCACAGTCCCAGGGTCTGCTTGGTCGATCTGATAGCGTAGCCACACCTGCGGAAGAACTGGAGAAACAGTCGAAAGTGCAAAGGTTACAAAAGAGACGCTCAAAAAGGTTGCTTTAACGATGTGTTAGTCACTCACCAGTGAGACATTTTCTGAACAATCTGTAAAACAGGTGCACTGCCGAGACTGGTTGGACGATTTGAATGCAAGAACCTGACTCCTGTTACAAAAATATACATTTTTATATCAATTACATTCATATGATTCAAAAAGACCAGTATACATGTATGTATACTGTATGTACATGTAGTGTATGTCTTTCTCCTCTAAATACAGTATCTGCTAAATGGGCGTGAATGTAATGTTTAACCAGAGCTACATGGTCAGAGCAGTAATGGATTACCTTTAACAGCTTCAAACTCACCTTATGTGTTTCTTTTCTTCAAAACTCATGGGAAGCTCTTGAATGGCTTGGATTCGTTCTCGGGTCGAGAGGGGCACGAGCTCCTTGACCAAGTTCTGCTCTTCTGCAACACACAGAGCAACAACACACTCTCATCCAGAGTATAACCCAGCTGTCACAGACCAGACTGCACGAATCCACCTGTAACAGCCTCTTACCATTCTCCATCTCATTCTTGATTGCGTTCTCAGTGAAAGCAGCGTAAGCTGGGTCAGTGTTAGGGAACATGCTCATCCTCCTCATGGTGTTTCCTCTCCACCTTATTGTACTTTTGCCTGGTTTAGAGAGAGAAATGTGCTGAGGTTGGTGTTAGAAAACATGTGGAACAAAGAGGATTTGGACTATATACATGCAGCACTGCAGCCATGTTTAATGTGTTGCCCTATTTTGATCTATTGTGTCATTGAAAAGTTTTACTAACTGTACATTAACATATATACCTAAACCCAAATACTCATCAAATAGTAGTGTAGACCTTTAGATAACATAAATAGGAGTGTTTCGTTCTTGCTATAGACCAATGCAGCTACATAACAATAGTAGCTACTGATGTAACAGATAATAAATAATAATAAATAATAATGATAAAAAATTATTTAAAATATGTCTAATCAATCAAAAATTGATTGATCTGCAGTACCCCTGCTGGCCCCCTGGGGGTTGTGAACACCTTGTTAAAATCTTCTGACTAAGAACATATCATTATCATGTTGGACTGAAAACAGATCTCAAACACTATGATGATATATATATATTTATTTTAGCACTTTTTAAAAAAATGTTTTTATTTTGACATTAACTTAAAATTAAACCGAGTGTACTCTCGGTTACTATCTAACCCTCTGTTAATTATCATACACTTTGCACATTAATCAAAGTCAACAGGTAAATGTAACGATAGCAATGTTTTCCCAATCACCAGGTCATAAACACGTCCCTCGTTAACAGGAAACCACTGAGAAATACCTGACAGCAGACAATAACCCAATTGTCAGAAGAGCTGTTGTGTTTAATCATTACCTGTAATTGAGGAGGGCGGTGGGCCCGGAGGTGATGGATTATACTGGGAGTCAATGTTGGAGTAAGACGTACTGCGGTCTGAGGAACAAAAATGAGGAGGAAACAGGGCAGAAAGAATCAACAGAATGGTCACCTGGCAACACCTGAAGGCACAACCAGACACAGACCAAGTCTGGAACTGGTTTTTAGTTCATGGATTTACAGCCACAGCTGTGGGTGCCACTCACTGAGGTCATTCTGCCATGGAGTTCTCCCAGGCTGTGTTGAGATTAAACCCATTGGGATGTTTTCTCGCCCCCTCCTGTTCTCCTCCTGCCATCCTCCATACGGTGAATCATTACCACTGACCGTCTGAATCATGGAACCATGTTCTGCCACTGTTCTGTTATTAGAACCCCGCCATGCCACCTCCTCCCGGGCGTAAGGGTTGGTGTGGTCGGTTTTCCTAGAGTACCTAGAGGACAAAAACAAAAAAGGTTTATTTGCTGTTAATCTCTGACAGTACGTGCTGGTGAGACATGGATACACAAAGTGGTGATTGGTGGTCTGTGAAATAGGTGAAGCCCATTTTAAGCTTTTAGGTTTATACATATTTTAATATTTATATAATGCAAGAAGGATGCTATTTATATTATAACAATTCTATTTTTTATTGGCATTGCATGTACAAATTCAAATCGTTTTTATCACCATCATAAGATGCAGTTTACATCAACCCACAAACACCACACGGAGTCTTGTGACAGGCACAGGAAATCCGCCCCTGCATTTTTCAAATGTGCTGTCAATAAATAAGTGCTTTCCCGTCAACAGCTGCCGACAGTTATACTAACTCACAGTGAATCCCTGCTTTTGATAGAGTATGATTGAAGCTTTCAAAGCTGCCAAAAAAAGGCCACAGTAGCCAAGAAATAGCCAAACGATGGCAACTACAACAACAACAACAAAAAAAACAAAAAAACAATCAGACCAGTAATTACTAAATATATGTTTGAAAAAGCTTTCTTAAACCACATACCTCCTATCAATTTCCAGAGTTTCACTGTCATGGTAGGCAGGGTTGTGAAATCCACCGTGACTGTAACTTGTCATGAGAATCTTCTGTCCAATTCTTCTGCTTTTCTTCAGCCAAAGTAGTTCAGCTCTGTCTGCTGTGGACACTCTTCTGCTTTCAGAATGTCTGTTTAAACCATCCGCTCTAACACAGTGCTAAGAAGATATCATCACAAAAGACCCAAGTTGGTAAGTTATAATGTAACTCAGTAGCATCACATATTCAGGTCAAGTAGCTTTCAGTACTGACAGCTTCCACTGTCAGAGGAAAGTATAAGAGGGTCATTTAATCTCTGGTTTCCATCCTAACCAGTTCATCACTAATTCATTCAGTCGGTTCTGTTTCATAGCAAAGACGTACGCTGCTTGTACAGAACCAACACACTCAGTAACAATGTAAAGGGAAACAGGCACAGCTGGCAACATTACAGAAAAAAAGTCACTAAAACTATTTCAGTTAATATAAAGCAACAGAAATAGTTAACTATTATTATTATTATTATAATTATAAAAGCACTGCTTACCTGATAATGTTGATGTAGCTCACAAATAATATTATTTCCTGCAGTGAATCAGCCCGAATCCCACCTTTGGAGAGAGTGGAGGAAAGACTGTGTGTCTACCAGGAAGTGTCCAGCAAACTAAAGGTAAAAGTCCACTGCTTGTTACCAGATCCAGTAAATCCCCTGTGAAGCCACTGACGGGGATAATTAAACCCTTGTGGCCTAAATTAAATAACTCCATTGTTACAAATGAACTGTGGTATGGCTTGGCTGTAGGCTGTTTGTGCTTGTACTCAATTAAATGTATTTAAAGAATATTAAAAAAATAAATATTGCTATGCTATGTTTAAAACAATAAAATAAATGATATTAATATTTAAGTTCAATGTGAGTTTTAGTGAAGACAGCTATAATAAATAATAAATAGCTCAAACATTACAAATATTAATCTTATTTTTCTATTCTATTCTATTCTGTTCTATTCTATTCTATTCTATTCTATCCTATCCTATCCTATCCTATCCTATCATATTATATTATATTATATTATATTATATTATATTATATTATATTATAGGAAGAATTCCTGAACTAAAATGTGGTGTTTAGACTGATCCAGGAAGTGGTTTGAAGTTACTCCTCTCTGTTTTCTTTCGTCGTCTCCCAATGGGCGACGCAGAGAACTGTTCGCTTACCGGATTATAATCCGTTTATTTCAGATCTCATCGGTTTAAGAGGCAGAAAACGATGGAGGTCGACTCAGGTAAACGTGGTGTTAATGTGGTGTTTATGCCATTGCTTTTCTCACATGTAAAGTTCATTAGAGACTGCTTTTTTGACGTTAGCTTCGAGGCTAATAAAGTTAGCGTGTAACTTTAAGCACAGCCAGCTGCGTGAGATAAACTCAACAGACCGTAGAGTTTGGTAATAAAACAAGAGTTTTAAATAAGCGGTTTATATAGTTTAGTAGTATTCTTTAAAAACTACTATAAATTTATATTTATTCTTATTTGATTATTTAATAGTTTACTTTTTCCTTTTTTGTCGCTTGGAATTAAACAATACAAAAACACATTGTTAGCTGTAAATATGAGCTTAACGTGTAACCATGTAAGTTGTAGATGTTATGTTGTGTGATAAACATTTCAAACAGTCGAGGTATTATTTTTACTGTACACTTTATTGTTGTTTCTTTTTGTACGAAGAACCTGTGAGAATTCAAACAAACTCAGTCACTTTAAATCAATTTCTTCACAATAACTTCGTTATAATAAGAATAAATAATATATAATATAAGAATATAATAATAATATATTAGTGAATGGCATAAAATAATTCGTATTATAGCAATAATAATTACGATAATGATAAAGCATTTCATTGGTACAGTATAGCGCTTAAGCAATGTGAACTAATAATGTTAGAACTTTAATGATCCTTTTTTTAATGATGATTATGAAAAACTGCTCTAAAATTTCATATACTACGTTTAATTGAGTAATGATTGCCTGTTTAGTTGCTGTAGCCCTACGTCATCATGTTTTTAACTAATTGGACCAGAAACCTGAAAATAACAACATAATAAGATCATATCTGTCAAATGCAAACACTGCTGACCTGGTCATACTTGATTACTTGTCTTCAGTGTTCTTCACTGATCGTAGTGGACGTGTCACCAGCAACCCTCTGCTGGACCAGCTTCCCAGCTACCAGTCCCTTCTCTACAGGAGAAAGTCATCAGGAGCTGGCAGCAAACGAAGGAACAGCTCTAGAAACAGGTTTGGCTCCTCAGGCAGTAATAAATGGGCCGTGAACACCGTGAGCAAACATGAGGAAAAGCAGAAGTTGGAGGAGAGACCCATCAGAGAGCTGCCGAAGACCATGGCTGAGAAACGGCAACAAAAGTAACAAAAAAAAGAGGAAAAAATTTAAATCTGTGTCTAATATTTGGCTGATTTGTCCAATTCGACATAGATTTTAAATTATTTTCTCAATAGATAAAAATTGATTTATTGACTGTGACATCTTTCAGGGCTCAACGTCTGCAGGATGCTGCAGATCTCAGTAGCTGGAGACAGTGGAAGCAGGGCACACGCAGGTATCTGAGGAGGCTGAGGGAGGACGCTCATGACTGGCTGAGCTCACTGCAGCTCTGGAGGGGAGACATCCACCTGATAGAAGGTACAAGGATATCAGGGTTTCAGGGCTTAATGATTTAGAGCAACTCCAGAGGAAGAAATAATGTTTGTTTTTTTTTTGTTTAATATTTTCAGGCATGTTTGGCCAGGGAATCCTATCCTACTTCTCCTTCCTGCGCTTCTTGGTCATGCTGAACCTGATCATCTTTGTGCTCATGTTCAGCTTTGTCATGTTACCAATTATCATCGCTCCCCACACTTCAGGAAATATCACCTATAATCTGAATGATGGTGAGAAGACGCTTGATCTTTTTATTGTGAAAAAAACCCCAAAAACAACAGCCCGGTGGTAACTGTGTTATACCCTGTGTTTCCATCAGGTGGTATTTGCAGTGTGTATCCCAGCAGTACTCGACGTGGCCTGGTTATTTACTATGAACACATTGCTGATCTGCTGTCTGGTGGAGTGAGTGTTTTTTATTCAACAATCTGACAATCCTATTGAACCTGATGAAACAGTTCACTGCTGGTTTCCTTTACTCTCCTATACAGTGTTAAACACTGTATGACATTATTACCTTGTCACAATGTAAGAAAAATGACAACAGAGATACATTAATGTACTTTCTCCTCTAACTTGTTCACCAACCAGCTCCATGTCCTGCATCACTACAACCATACATGTTCTCTGGGCTCTTGGTCTCTTCATCTTGTCCAACATCAACTCATGTCCAAACTATCTCCACTTCACCTCTCCTAACTTTATCATCAAACTGCTCCACCTGAACTGTCCCTCTGATCTGCTCATTTCTGATGCTGTCCATCCTGTTCACTCCCAGTAAAGATCTCAGCATCTTCATCACCTCTACCTCCTCCAGCTCAGCCTCCAGTCGATGAGACAGAGACTCGTGGCAGATTTATCTCACTTTTTTAGTTTAGAGATAGAGATAGAGATAGAACGAGACTTTGTTGTCTGTTGTTGTTCAGTGTGTAACTTCACTCATCGTCTTCATATCTTCTGCAGGGCTTCCTGGAACAGACCTACCTCTTCTATGGCTACTACAGAGCACACAAAATATACTTTCCTAAAACCACTTATAATTTACCTCTGGCATATCTGTTGGCAACCATCGCTTACCTCTTCCTCAGTTTGGTCTGGATTGTGAAAAGGTATGTAGCAGAGAACACAGATATAAGTAGAAAAGTGAAATGTTTTAATTTCAGTATGTGGCAAAAGTGTTTTTCTTCTTCTTTTCTTTCTTTCCAGGTCTGCAACAGGCTTCAAACGGAGCCTAATTCAGGATGAGGATCGCTTTCAGAGTTTTTGCAACAAGATCTTTGCCGGCTGGGATTTTTGCATTACCAATGTGAATGCTTCAAAGTTGAAGAGAAGCAGTCTGCTCTATGAACTTAAGGTCAATTTTCCCTCACAGTTCCTCTATTGTATGTGCAAAATTAGTTCATGTAGAGAGATTGCGCAACTTGAATCTTTTGAATGTATGGGGCTTAAAAATCTCAGTTTTATTAAATCAGCTTGTCCTCGATCCTGAATCCTGCGGTGTTCTTTGGCATCGATATCATGTATTTAAATGTCAACTTCACATCCTCAGACTGACTTGGAAGAAGAGAGGATCAAGCAGAAAATTGCAGATCGCACCCGTAAAGAGAAGTGTCGTATTTACTTCATCCGTTTTCTCCTCAATCTCTTCGTCATGGCTGTGTTGGCTGGCTGTTTCTACAGCATCTACAAGGCCACCATCTTCTCCCAGAAAGCACAGATGGACAACATTAAGGTAAAGATGCTCCTGCCTAACTATAAAAAACTATATTGTTTACTTAAATTTCTAATTTTCTGTACTTTTTCAATAGTCTTAAGTAGGGGTGTGTATTGGGCAACGATACGACATATTATGATGCTATAGGTATGATATATTGAGGTTTTTAAAGCAATGTAACACTGTTACATGCTTAACATCAGGTTATAAAATTGGAACAGCGGGATTTACATTTGTAATCACTAGAGAAGAAATAAAAGCAAAAAAATGAACCAACATCATGAATATTTTCATGTTCAATGTTTAAAAAATCAATGCAGTGCTGTGGAATATTGATACAGTATTGTGAAACAAGATATCGAAATATTTCTTACACCCTTAGTCTTGATGCACTTTAGTCAAAACTAAGACATTTGAATTTTTGTAAGAAATATTCTCAGACCAAATAGTCAAACCCCAATGACAGCTTCTGTTCATGATAAAAGATTATTTGATCAAATTTCAGGTTTTTACTTTTTACGAACATTATTTAAAACATTAATTAATTAATATAATTTATTTTTCTATTTGACTTGCCACTTACCTCAATGTGTACTCGACTCGACTAATGCAGTCGAGTCGAGTACACGTTGAGGTTTAAGTATTAATCAAACAAACAAGAACAGTTTAAGACACACTGATGCTGTGAGTGATATGTGATTGTCTCTCTTGCACACCCTCTGTGCTCTGTCAATCCGTGGTGCAGCTGCAACTGATGCAGTGTACCGTTAGTGGTTTAACATGGTTTAACTAAAATTACAGGAAACGCCAGGAAAGCTGCTGTGTCATCTTTTCTCAGTCTCATGATTGAGTGATGTGGGTGGGGCAAGCAGGGTGGCATTAATGACAGATGGAGGGAGGAGAAATGACTAGAGACAGGCAAACTGGCTGGTTTATGAATATATAATTTAGGGCAACATTATACAAGTCAATATAAACACTATGGTCTCATTCTATATTGTGTATAAAAATACTGTATATAGATGAATCACCAATCGACCACATTACGCTGCAACCTTGATACATTCAACCTTACTGTCCTGCAGGTGAATTTCATTGTTGATTTGATCTACGAGTATCTGCCCTCCATCGTTATCACCCTGGCCAACTTCATCACCCCCCTCGTCTTTTCTATCATCATCAACTTTGAGGATTATTCTCCGGCCTTTGAGATCCGCTTCACCCTCATGAGGTAAAGCTGACTCCGCCCATTATTACAGTCACAATAATGACAAGAAATGAAAAGAAAAAAAATCACTTGTTATTTGACAGGTGTGTCTTCATGAGGCTGACCAGTATTGGAGTCCTGCTCTTCTCCCTCTGGTCTCAGATTACCAAGTGTAAAGAAGAGCCCTGCGTCTGTGGCTACAACCATTTGCTTTATTCTGTAAGTCATCTCTGTTTTCTAGAAGGATAGATCTTTTTTTTTCTTCTATTTTTTCTGTATTTTACTTATTGTTTGTAACAGTGACACAGCACATCACATCAGTTCACTTCATCTCCATATAATATACAACATTTTGCTCAGATTGTGTTTAGTTCTGAGTTTTGTTTAATATTGTTATTATTAATAATAATACTAATTCATTAGCCTCTCTCCCTTCCTGCTGTCGTCTACAGTGCTGGGAGACTCGTGTAGGACAAGAAATGTACAAACTGACCATCTTTGACTTCATCACCATCGTCTCAGTCACCATCTTTGTAGAATTTCCTAGGAAGTGAGTCAACACTTCTGCACAGAAACAACAAGACATTGTACTTGACATTGAACACCTCCTGACTGTCATTGAGCAACATTACACTCATAGTTCACTGCAGCCTTAACTTTGACAGCCAGCTTTGATTTAGATTCAGTTTGAGTCCTGTGACTAAATTGTGACTTAGTTTTAATAGTAATATTTACAATATGTTTATATTGATAAATTTGACTGAACTCTGTTAAGAATAGGAGATTGTTTTATTGACTAGAAAAATTCTAGAAAAAAAGGTTGTGACCCAGTCTTTAATGAAATCATAAATTGATAGTATTGGCTGTAACTGTCCGAACCTCCTGTGCTGCCCAGGCTCATCGTCCGACACTGTGACTGTGGCCTGGCTAAATGGTGGGGTCAGCAGGAGTTTGCCATTCCTCAGAATGTTCTGGAGATCGTTTACGGTCAGACCATCTGCTGGATCGGTACCTTCTACTGCCCCCTGCTGCCTGCCATCTGCACCATCAAATACTTCTTCATGTTCTACATTAAAAAGGTGATTTTTGACTCTGTGAATCTTTTGTGAGTCTTTTCAAAAATCTGCAACTGTAAAAATCTACCTCCTTGTTCACAGCTGTCGTTGATCAACAACTGCCGACCAGCTACACGTCCCTTCCGAGCGTCCAGCTCTAACTTCTTCTTCCTCTGTGTCCTGCTAATTGGCCTGGCTCTGGCCTGTATGCCTGTCATCGCCAGTGTAGCACAGTGAGTACAGACCATAATAAGAATAGAAATAAGTCAGAATGTATGTAAATTCTTTTTTCCTTGTAGAAATACAAATCCATTCAAATATGAACTGATTTTCCTGTTTGCCCAGAATAAACTGCTCTCAGGCTTGTGGACCATTTGTGAACTACACCACCTCCTGGGAGGTTGTGCCAACTGCAGTGTCCCAGCTTCCTGATGGAGTCCAGGGTCTGCTCTGGGCCCTATCTTCAGAGGCTTTTGCTGTGTCCTTCTTTGTTGTCACTTGGTATGTTTCAGTCTGCTGAGACCATGCCCCCCTTTCGTAGACAGAAATATTGTTAGTAGTATAGTAATAATTTGTAAACTGAACTTTAATTAACACACATTTCTACACAAAAAGTTATTCTCATTAAACACTATAAAAAATCAACAAAAAACATGTTTTAAATGCAATTCTCCTACTGGTGAACAAATACCTTTAGCCCTTTTGGGAACCACTGACCTAGACGTTTCAAAATGTAGGTCCACTGTTGTTTTGACAGTGGACCATGAAATGTTAGGTCATTCATGTTGTTACGAAGGAGGAAGTACAAGGTGTATTTTTAGAAAACTTTGTATACCACGGTTCAGTCGTTCAACCGTGAACCCTAAGTTTACAGGCATAAAGAGGAAGAACAACTGTTTCAGATGCCGTTTGTTGAGAGTAACATTCTGCACAGACAATAACCCCTTAATCCTCTCTGTCTGCAGTTTGGCCATGTTTTATATGATTGCTCTGGCAGGAGCACACAAGAAGGTCATCAAACAACTCAGAGAGCAACTGGCCATGGTGAGAACATGTGATCTGTGAAGCTGTGGTCACATGGTGTCTCATTGTTTAACAGAAATAAATTAAATTAGTTTTGTTTCATGCAGGATGGCCGTGACAAACGCTTCCTGATCCAGAAGCTGTGCCAGGCCCAGAGGATCCCAGAGGTCAGACCCTCCCAGCCCAGACAACAGGTCCTCAGCAGTAGCAGCAGCAGAAGAAGCCCCAACTATGAGACCAGCTTCTCCAACAATTTTGATGAGTCCCTGTTTTTGGTGCATTCACCCCCGGACTCATCCACACATGTGTGAGACTGAAAACAGAGGAATATTTGAACCTTGAACTTTTTTTATCCTGTAAACACTACAGTATATCCTGGGAATTTTTCTGGACCCTATTAGTAAGCCTTGTGCCTCTTCCATATCTTAGTATTGACATAAAGTATCCTGGTATTTTTACGGTGACAACGGTCCTTGAAAATCAGTGGCAAAACCTGTCTGCAGAATTTCTGAGTGATGGACTTCATTTTGGTGAGACTGTTTAGAACAATAATTAAACACACTTAGGTTTATCAGCAAGTAATTTTCAGCCATCGCTGTAACAGATCACCTGACCAATGCCTCCAATCAGGTTATATCCTGCAAGAAAAACTTACAGATGTTTTGCTTAATAATTCTTGTAAGCATTATTGTATCTCTTTGTGGTGCTTCAGACCTAAGATCTACTTCATCATTTCCTTCCGAGAAGGACAAACAATACTGGAACCACTGGAGTTTGGATCAACGTTTCTCAAATGTATGCACTTTAAAAGTATTACCACTAATGTTTTCTTACTAGTACAAACCGTGTTTACAGACAACACTGTAATGTTTGTTGCTCTGATGCCGCACACCTTAAAAAAAACTGTGTTCTTTTTCTAGTGCTGTGAATTGTTTTTTTCTACTTAACAAAAACTTTGTTAGTTGGGACCGCCTGTACTGTAAACAATTTTTGTCAGGTTTTGTGGGAAATGTTCTTCTCTTCATCTCATTTGACTTTGCGTATCTGATTGTTTTACATATAAATAAATATAATTATAAAAAAATAGTTAAATACATGTTTACACCAATACTTTCTCTTGGTTATGGACTGTGATGGGATGTTTCATGATTTTATGTTGACTATGTGTTATTACTGCGGTGTACTAGCTTAATGCTTTAAGAGGTTTCACATACTAGTATTGGCCTACTATTTTTGGAGGTGACACCACTTACAGTATGTGACGCAGTTCCAGTCAGTAATGTGTGGAACAAAGATTTAAGCAAAGTGACAAAATATGGGTTCACAAAGTCACACCAGCTTAACTTTTGGTTGAAGGGACCTTTTGGGGACTATGTCTATGAAGATTCTCAGTCATCCAGGTCATGGTCAAGGTTGAAGAATTCCGTTAGGCAACTGGACGTGAAATTTTCTAGCATTTTGGGGACCAGTAAACAAGGCAAAAGAAATGCAAAGCAGGACAACCTGTATACTAACTAACCAAACAAACCTACAAAAACCGTCCTCATCTGGAACAAAGGTTAAACGTGTATAATACATGCAATTATATTATACATTATACATGTAATAGTACTTCCGAACCTGCAGAGGGCGCTAGCTATCTCGTATTAACTTGTCGGAGTGACAGCAGGAACTGCAACCGGAGACGGCGTGCTGTCGTAGCTACTGTATCCGCTGCTGCTCGGTCTGAGTCCGGCGAAAATGTTGAGAGTTACTATCCGGGCTGACATGCTCCCTCTGTGGGTGTTTTTCTGTCTCGTTTCCTCTCAGTTTTGGACTGTGTCCTCTGAGGACATCGTGGTTGCGTGTGGAGGCTTCGTGAAGTCTGACGTAGAAATTAACTACTCGTTAATAGAGGTGAGAAACCTACAGGCTATGTGGAAGCTAACCGCTAGCCCGCTAACTCGAGCTGTGTCAAAGGTTATTTTGTGGAGACTTTAAATAAATGACATTTGCAACTAAATTAATATTTAAAGATGTTGTTCATTTTGCACCAAAATAAGTTAACCGTCTGTGTAATTGCTTGCCTGGCATTTTAAAGAATTTTTTTAAAGCTCTACAGTTTTTGTTCTAATCCGGGTTAATTCATGGGATTATCTAAATTCAAATCAAGTGAAACAAGCGGTTTTTCAACCACAACTGACATTTAAAGAATAGTTGAAGAAAAGGAGATGATTTATTATCTGAAGACCTTAAAACCAATTAAATGCATTGGAAGTCGTTTTTAATTTGCATAACCAAATTAGGAAAACACGTTCTGATTAACAACTCTTCCCAGATACAAATGTATCCTTATCCATAAAAACCCAAGGGAGATGAAAATGTATGAATATGTGTTTCCTGAAACATCAGACAACGACATTTTTCAAAAAGTAAAAAAAGTTGTGTTGTGCAAACCAAGGCAATTTAGAACATTTAGAAATGAACTAAACAGTTTAAATTCAATTATGTTTTTAAAATGAACTGTTTAAGTGTCACTAGTTGATTCCTGCAGAACCTATGGAAACAGTAGTATAGAGAACTTTTATCTCAAAATGGTTTTGCCAATTGCTGTTAATGGTATTGGTTATTGGTATTGGTTGGTAGTGGTTAAAAGGAAGGAAAGGAAAGTGCACTAATTGTCATTGTGACACAGCACACACTGCACTGACCCTCTGCATTTTACCCATCACCAAAGTGAACAGTGGGCAGCTTTAAGCACCGGGGGAGCAGTGTGCGGGTCAGGTGCCTTGCTCAGAGCACCTCAGTGGTAACTTGGCAGCTAGTGGACTCAAACCTGAAACCTTCCGAAGCCAACTCCACTTCCTTAACCACTAATTCACCACTGCCCCATGTTAATGGTTTACTGATTATTACTGTACTTGATCAACCTGTTGTCTCAATCTTTCACAGATCAAACTCTACACCAAACAAGGTTCTCTGAAATATCAAACAGACTGTGCTCCCATCAATGGATACTTCATGATACCGCTTTATGACAAGGTGACTTTAAGAAACTCTCATACTTGAGCCAGTTGTGTATATCAAACTGTATGAGAAAGGTAATCAAATGCAGATTATAATCAGTTCATACTGAGAGTGAGAATGTTGTGCAGAGATGAGATTAGTTTAGAGCAGGAAGTATGAATTTGTGTGTATGTGTGTATATACAATATATGCATAAACACATGTGTCACGTTCCCTGAAACCAGTTTATCTTTTATTGAACAGGGAGATTTTGTTTTAAGGATTGAACCTCCTCTTGGATGGAGCTTTGGTGAGACTAACGCTTTTAAATCTTAAAATAAAAAGTTGTTTTGTGTATATATATTTATATGTGTGTGTGTGTGTGTGTTTTTAATCTTTGAAATCTTATCTCTCACCAGAGCCCACCAGTGTTGAGCTCCATGTGGATGGCGTCACTGACATCTGCACCAAAGAGGAAGACATCAACTTTGTTTTCACAGGCTTCTCTGTCTCAGGAACGGTGAGATGTGTTCAGACATTACTGTGTGGCTCAGTGTCAGTGTCAGTGTTTGACACCAGTATCGGTCTTACTAATCTGCTGCATCTGATCCAGGTTCTGAGTAAGGGCCATCTCTTGGGTCCAGAAGGAGTCGAAGTTAAACTGAGCAGAGAAGGAACTGAGGAGAAACTTCAAAGTATCGTCACTCTGCCTGGAGGAAAGTGAGTGAAAAGAT